CTTGCCCCATTGCCCATCCTTAGGATTGTTTCTTCACCATCTAGCATATTACTTCTTGCCATCATCTGCAAATCATTGCAAATATGTGAGCCACAGCCGGTATCCAATACCCAAGAAGAATCGTTAACAGACAAGTTAACTTCAACAAAATAAATACCTGAACTTTTCAGACTAGCAAGATACTCCTTGCAGTTCCTCTTCCAGTGCCCAGTTTTGCCACAATGAAAACATTCATGATCGGCCTGAGAATTAACCTTCTGTTTGTTCTTCCCTTTATCATTATATGCCTTCTTGTTGGGCTTATTGGGAACCTTTCCCTTCCTCTTCCTTTTCTTAGACTTAGTAGCCTTTGATCCGGAAGTGGATCCAACAAGAAGTACCGGCTTGTCCTTTTTAATGGTGGACTCAGCCGTCTTCAACATGTTTAATAATCCTGGAAGATCAGTTTCCATATTATGCATGTTGTAGTTAACGACAAAGTTATCGAATGACGCTGGCAGAGATTGCAACAATAAATCCACATAGAGTTCATTATCCATAATGACTCCAAGTGATTCGAGTCTTTCCACAAGAGCTATCATCTTCAGTCCATGATCATGAACTGAAGAGCCCTCGGTCATACGACACCTGAAAAGCTCTTTAGATATCTGATATCTAATTTGTCGCGTCCGATCACCATACAACTCTTGCAGGTGAGTTAGGATTTCAGAAGCATTATTCAGTAATTCGTTCTGTCTCTGTAGCTCATTAGACATTGATGCTAGCATGTAGCACCGAGCTTGGAGATTGTCATCAACATGACGCAAGTAGGCTCCATACTCTTCAGCAGTCTGATCCTCCGGTGGAGGAGGAGGAGCTGTTTCCAAAACATACTCTCGCTTCTCAGACTGAAGAACAATCTTTAGGTTCCTCAACCAATCATTGAAGTTGGGACCAGTTAATTTATTATGATCAAGGATACTCGCGATTGGATTCTTAGCCATTTTAGTAGTTTGATCTACAAAAATAACAAACGAAGCAGAAAATAATTAGACTATGGAATTTATATTCATTTAATATTAGGTCTTTAACATTAAATGTCTCCCACTAATTTAATTAGAACCTCATTATAATTATGAAAATCATTATTTTCATAGTGGGCTTGAAGTCCAATAAAAATATTTCATGTCCCAATTTTATGATGCCACCATGAAACAATTTTATCGGTAGTCAACTTTTTGACAATTGTATCTCTATACAACCTTCAAGATGTTTTGCCTCACCTTTCCTTATATACCTCAATTTTATGACTCCATATATATTACTCGGTGTCAAATCAAACCCATCAAAACTTTCATGATAACGGCCCACCAGAGTGTCCCACGACTCATGGCCAACACAAAGAGGAATCCGTCTCACGAATATCAATATATTTAATAGAGTTCACAGCTTTCGACATAGAATCATCCCACGACTCGTGGCCAATGATAAAACATCGTAGCATCTCATGTCATCTACTTTTGATGGAAGGCCTGGATTAATAAGTTCCAACTTATTTTTATCCATTATTGATTTGATATGGAATTAATCAAATTAATCCGTTTGGGTTCCTTGATCTCATCGATTACCATCTTTACGTTTATTTACCAGTTTCAGTCATCTAATGAAACGAAAGCGTAAATAAACCTAACATACATCTAATGCATGGTGGGATGATCATGTCCTTTCCTATTCGATCCATTCGAGCCAAAATGGATCTATGCATATGTACGTGATAAAACAAATAGTAGAACTACTTCTATTACATTTATTCTATCTACCCGTACAAGCACAGGCCTTCGAGATTACAACTTGTAAAATTACCCACACATGCGTGGGCCTTTGTCATCGAACGGTCTCCACCTTGATCTAATCTCTAACGATACAAAATTTAAAATTTTACAAATTTCATCTCAAGAGACTCGCAGGTCTCGATAAATTACATTTCTTCAATCATATTGAAAACATAATTAAACATCCATTCATTCATTCAATCATATTGAAAATGAAAACATCCATTCAAACATAATGAATATGAGGCTCATGATCATCCCTAAAACATTCATCTAATGAAATGAACATAAAATATCAATTTATGAGTCACACGACTCGTGTGAGGGTCACACGACCCGTGTGATCTTATCACACGACTCGTGTGAAAAATACGAATTGAAAATCAAAATTTTTCCCAGACTCACACGACTCGTGTGGCTCGTCACACGACTCGTGTGAGCTCACACGACTCGTGTGACAAGGTCACACGACTCGTGTGAAAATCACGAAGCTAAAATCAAAATTTTTCTTCATGCCACACGACTCGTGTGACAAGGTCACACGACTCGTGTGGCTTAAAAACGATTTTTAATTTTATAATTAATATTTTTATCATATAAAAAATTAATTATATTGCTTATCTCATAAGTCTTAACAAATCAAAATCTGTTTTAAAGACGATAACCGTGGCTCTGATACCACTGTTGGGTTCGATAGTACCGTACGGGCTGTACGCAGCGGAATTTAAAATTTTTAAAGTAAGTATTTATCGTATAAATACAACACCCGTACATACTAATTGCGAATTAACTGATCGTCATCTTTAAAACATGCATCATATACAAATTTTGATTTGTTACTATAAAGTAAATACTAGTAAAAATATTTACCGAATGTCTTGAACTCCTTCACTATTGATGATGGATGAGGGAATCGGTTCCCGGTTGTAACTTCAACGACTTGAGGTTACTCGCTAGAGGAATCCAAGTGTCTTCCCTCTAAACGTATCCACCCTATGAAGCCCGGTTCCGACGACTTTCCTTCGCTAGTAGAAAAGACTCGGTTTTCTTGTATAGGAATATTTATGAATTTTATTTGGGAATTTTAAGAACTCTTTCTTGAAGTTTTATGAAGAACACTTTCTTCTCTTTCTAACACTTAGAAATTTAGGATCAAAAACTTCACTTAAATGCAAAACCATTTTGCACATATTTATACTAAACATTTTAGCATAAAATAATCAACATTTAGTAATATTAAATAAAATCAAATTTTATTTAAATAGTATTTACTAACTTTTGACTTTGAAAATAATAAGATATGTTAAGTAGTTCAAACAACCATCAACAACCATTTTATTATAATCATATTTATTATTTTAATCCTTAAATCATATTTAAAGATATAAATAATAATTGGATAATAAATCTTGAGAATCTTTCTCAAGACTTTATTATTATATCATTTTCCCAATATTATAATAATCATATTATTATTATTTTGGATTTTTGAAATTTAAAATCCTATTTTAAAATTCAACTTTATTAATTTAGTAATTACCTTAATTACTAAAGTAATATCCAAAATGTAATTAATCAATCTTATTGATTAATATATTCCTTTAATTGATATCTAATCAAATTAGATATTTATCAATTAATTCTAACCATTAGAAATACAATCTTTACCTTTGTTCATAATTAGTGTGACCTTTTAGGTTCACCTTAATACTAGTAGTGGGTTTACAACACTTTGTAATTTGAGTTAAATCTTATTAACTCTTATTCATGAATTAACCCTTTAATTTATGAACCCACATATCATGGTAACACCTAGCAAGTAGCATGAATCTAGTATTAAGTGAATAGCGAGTAAACCTATTCCGATTACAACTCCATACATGTAAAATCCTTTCGACATCTAATTTCCCGATTAAGTCTTGGGTATGATTTTGTCGAAACCCAAATTGACTTAATAACTATGATTCTATTTCATGTTTATTAACCCGGTTATGAATCACTATTCATCTCTGCCTTGGCCAAGGACTTTGGATTAATAACTATGAAACACATAGGAAATTCACTTATCTTCATAAGTGTCGAATCCTTTATTGGCCACTAACAAACTTCCATACATATTAACATAATACCCAACTTATCCCTTTAAACGATAGTGCTAGCTACCAAAAGGATAAATCAAAGTAGAATGTAATATGCACAAAGTTACCATTGTGCCTCAAGTCTTAGGATTAGTCATGTACTATTGTAACATGAAAATTCTTATTCGACTGAATAAATTCTTCATTAAGAATTTTCATACGGTCATGTTCAGTGAACTTGTTCTCTAACAAGCACCCACATAAATGTACTTACGTCTTACGCTAATGTTGATGGAATGCAACATTCTTGTCCAACAAGCATACAAACTATGTGCAAGTCTTTTATGGATTATTCGATATCCCATCTCGAAACATCCATCGACTTGGAACTGTATTTAAGATCACGGCTTTCAAGGTATGTTCCATGATCACCATCTCTATGCGTAACCATACCTTATAACCATAAGTGATCTAGGGATTTTATCTTAAGTGCAATTATAAGATAAATGCTTTCTCTTAAGATAAAGAAATGCCTTATTAATAATATAATTCCAATAGATTGTATTTACAAGTAGAATACGTCCAATTAGATTGGAACGCCGGGTACCCTACTCTAACACTCCTCTCATCACCAATTAGTTTTGGGATGTAACCTCACTAAAAGTGCATCTAGGCCCACCCTCTTATGGTATATGTTTGGATGCACTTTTGTAATGGACTTTTGACTATGAAAGTCCATTTACTATATAAAAAGATGTTTGGTGCAAATAACAAAATGGACTTTTAAAAAAGTAACTCCCATAAAAAGTCCATTTCAAAGAAGTTTACATTGAAAACTTCTTGAGAAGTAACTTTACAAAAAGTCCATCTTAAAATGGACTTCTCAATAAGTGTTTCCAAACAAGCCCATGGTGTACTTCACCTGGTGGGACCGCACCCTCTTCCCCCAGTTCTAGTACGAACAAACTTTTATCAACAAGAACAAGCTTTTTGTTTGCGAACTTTCAGTTTGTTGACAACTCTAGCTGATATGATCATGTATAATGAGCACTTAAAAACCTTAATAATATTGGGAAAAGCATCATTAACATCCTAGTAGGTGTTCGAAATAATGGGTGAATTAATGCTCCTAAAGCTCTTTTAGAAAAACAACAATTGTAGCCGCCTCGGGGCATTGGCGTCAATTTCAGTCACATCAAAGTCCATCTTTAAGGTCAGCAAGCCTTTTTTTTTTTATTCTGGTTTAAATTTGCTGGAATTACTTATTTTATGTAATCTTTCAAGCTTTTGGATTTTTATTATTTACTGATATAAGGTTTATTTGTTCCATAATCATCGATAAAATGAAAGTAGAAGTGTTACAGTAAATAGCCATGGGTCCTTACTTCTTTTTTTTCTTGGCTTTGTGTTACAGTAAATAGCCATGGGCTAAACCTTCTACAAGCCATTCAAAATGAAAGTAGAAGCGTTAAGAAGTCTCTTAAGGTAAAGAATTTGTCGTAAATTATGTTTGTTTGATGCTTTTCCATAGTATTTCTCATAACATGGTACAAAAGAAGATTAACATCTTCGAGTTGTAGGATGTGGTTGCTGAAAATGAGTTTGAGAAAAAGCTGCTTGCTGAGGTCATCCCTCTAGGTGATATTGGAGGTGAACAATTCTGGTTTCAATTGAAATTTAGACATGTTTAAGAGGTTTTGCATGCAGGTGGGAGGTTTGGTGGTTTGAGTAGTGGTTACAGCGTGTCAGGTGGTCTTTATTGTGTCGATTTATCAGAGGTATTATTTCTCCTCGTTCATTACAACTTCTAACTCTGTATTCTTCTCCATTTATTTTCTCTTGTTTCTAAGATTAATTTTTTTTTATGATATTTTCATTCTGTAATATATAATTACACACACACACACACACACACACACACACATATATATATATATATTGATTTAATCATCCCAAGTCTTTATCTTGTTATCAGGAAGCACATTTCTCATATAACTTCTGATATCTAAGCCAATATAAGAAGTAAGTGTGTATGTTTTCTTCTTCCCATATAATTGCTAAACTAGCAAAACACAAGTTGGGCGATAAGTAACGAAAAAGGAAAATATTTGTATTTCCAGTGACGAGCTTAGTTAAAAGAGTTGTCTCTCTCTCTCTCTCTCTCTCTCTCCCTCTCTCTCTCTCTCTCATAAATGCATCGATACTGCAGGATTAAATTTGAAGTCAAAAAGTATTAGCAGTCACCCAATTTTCAGTCTTAGGTTTTATGTGCCTTCTTTTTTGTCAGAATCTTGGGCAAAACTTGCATTAGCTAGCACAAAAATGGGTGCGTTGACAGTTATTAATCAATGTTTAAGCATATACCCAGATGCAGAACTCTAGACCGTGACTTTAAGCCCATAAGCCAAGCAACTACCCAAGTCCATTACAAATTTGGTTAATTAACTTAATTTTAAAAATTAATATGTAAATATTAATTTAAGATTTAAAAATTACATGTGTATGCTTATTTATGTTTTAAATACACATTAGAGAAAGATAAATAAATATTCTACATTTAAAATTTACACTTCAAAGTCTTAGTAATATTGCTTCGCTTTAAAAATGTTTGTTATGAAAAGTTTCACATTTATTTCATAAAATTTACAAGAAAAAAGAGGGCAGAAAATAGAGTTGCCCAATTTGATTGGGTCACAGTTGGGTCATGCTCCAAAATATCTTAGCATATGACCCCTCGAGTTGCATCACATGTCACTGTTTTTCGGCTTGAGTCGGTTGGGTTACGGGTCATTAAACAACGATACCATACCATTGGATTCAATAAAGATCAAAGAAAATAGAATTGAACCAACATACCTCTTTGTATTCTCTTTCAAAATATTAATTTATTTAAAGATTCATATACAATAAGACCGTCTGTAACTATATATTGTTTTGTTAATAAATTAGCTTAATAAATCAAAAGCAGATCAAAATTGAAATAATGGTTTCAATATATTAAACATCATTTTTTTTTTTTATTCACACAAGTAAGTGAAAGCAATTTTCAAAGTGTTATTAGTACCTGTTCAGTAGACGCTACAGTATGCTATATGAAAGTGCTCTGGATAATAATAATGGTTTCAATATATTAAATTGTAATTTTTATTTTTCACAAAAGAAAGTGAACAATTTTTAAAGTGAACTAGTACCTGTTTAGTAGGTTCTTTTTATTCGACTACAATACTAATATCAGCTGGTTAGACCAGATACAACATGGATTTCTAGCCATACCATTCTAAATTGGATTTCTAGCCATACCATTCTAAATAGCACTGTAACGCCTACTGAACAGGTACTAGTTCACTTTAAAAATCGTTCACTTTGTTTTGTGAAAAATAAAAATTACAATTTAATTTACTGTAACCATTATTATTATCCAGAACACTTTCATATAACATATTGTAGCGCCTACTGAACATGTACTAATATACTTCGAAAATTGCTTTCACTTTCTGAATAAAAATTACAAAAAAAATAAAAAATAAAAAATTGTTGTTTAATATATTGAAACCATTATTTCAATTTTGATCTGCTTTTGATTTATTAAGCTAATTTTACTTAACAAAACAATATATAGTTGCAGATGGTCTTATTGTATATGAATCGCTAAATAAATTAATATTTTGAGTGAGAATACAAAGAGGTCTGTTGGTTCAATTCTATTTTCTTCGATAAAAGTACCTATGATGCAACTCGAGGGGTCATATGTTAAGGTCTTTTGGAGAATGACCCAATCAACTTGGGCAACTCTATTAACCCCCACTATTAACCATCTTTCAGGTGAGCTAAGTTGTTCACCCCTACTATTAACCATCTTTCAGGTTGAACTGGTGGTCGTGGCGAAAGACGAGCGGGGCAGGGTCATTATATGTGCTGAACTGCTGTTTACCTGCTTCCGCTTGATTATTATTATTTGATTGTCTCATGTTAGACTTCTTTATTTCTCGTTGGAGACTGAACCAATGTTATTTGGGATTTGAATTATTATGCATGATTTGGATTCGAATTGGTTATTTCCTATGACTGTATGATCGTTGTAACATGTCTTGCTTGGAATGAGATATTTATGTTTGGGTTGGATGTACTCTGTGGTCCTAATGTGGGTTTAAACTGTATTATGAGAATTTCGAGTAGTGTCCGTTAAAGAAATCTTTAATTTAATTTTTGAAAAATTAACTTTGATTTTTTAAAAAATAAAATTAGTATTTTTCACTTAAAAATAACGGGGCGTTACACTTTCGATTTCAAAATCCAACTGAAGACTATATGACAATAGTGTGGACACCAAAATACGCACAACTGTTCACAAAGACTACCAGTATTAATACTGTATTATGTTGCTTGTGATTTATTAGTGATGAATATATGCCAGCGAACTCTTAGAGGGACCATTTCGTTTGAAATTGCCTTATTTTCCATTTAATACGAAGTGTTTAGGTATTTGTACTACTGTAGGCATTGCATTAAACATAGTTTTTTGATGATCAAATGGCTGTTTTAATGCAGGTTATCTATATAGCACCTTTAAAGGCTCTTGTCCGAGAAAGAATGAATTGATTGGAGGAAGCGTCTTGTTTCCCAGCTTGGAGTCTTGTTTCCCAGCTTGGAAAACATATGGTGCTTATAATTTTCCGCTTATTATGCAGAGTTATGCGAAGCTATCTAATCTAATGCGATATCATTGATATTAGGTGGAATTGATTGGAGAATATACCCCAGATCTGACAGCACTGTTAGCAGCTGACATCATTATTTCTACTCCAGAAAATTGGGATGGTATCAGTCGTAATTGGCATACTCGAGGCTACGTTAAGAAGATGAGTTATTTTCTGAACTCTCGACTTTAAGTTATTCCTTTACTGTGTATATCTGTAATATTCTCTTTTGTTTCCCTTTGTTTTGAAACATCTGATTGAATTTTATTTCCCATTTGGATATTAAAATTTTTTATTTTCTTAATTTGAGTTGCACCAGTTATTGTTGTTGTTGTTTTTATTTTTATGTAAACATTTTAGGTTGGAGTAATGATACTGGATGAAATTCATTTACTTGGAGCAGATCGTGGTCCCATATTAGAGGTATGCTTAATTCATTGCTTGGCTGTCATATGTGTTACTTCTTCACGGAATGTGGATCGTGAGCCTTTGCTTGCTCATTCTAGAATTAGAGCAACCTGACCACTTGCACTAGCATATAATCGGCATCAATGACCCAATTAAAAATTTATTGACAGAGCGAAGTCCTGTACTGTAACACCATGCAGTAGGCAGGTGGAACTGACTTGGGTTGATACTTGGAGTTTCTGTGAAGTACATTGTTTACGCTTTTGTTGGTTGTTTTAGCTATCTAAATTTTGTTGATGTATGCGAATCAATTGGGACCAAATTACATATCAACCATTCAGTCAGCCTACTCTGTCAAACCTTAAACAACAAATTTTTCAGCACCTTAAAGTCCATAATGCATAATAAAACTTAGCCCACAGACAAAAGAGATTCTGTGGTGATTCCAACTTACTATCACATTCCTTGACAACCACTCAGAACTGGTTAGAAGCATCAGTGTTTGTCCTTTGAAAATTTAAGCTTTTCCACAATTTCTGGAACTTGGTATATTTTGTGCTGGATAAGCTAAGCCAACATGCAGGTAAATCATCAAATTTCAGGACTCTGGAATTGTTCTAAATAAAAGTACTTGGTGTTCATATCGTACACTTTTAATTATGTCTGCCTATGCAATTTTAACAGATGTCATTAGATGATTTTCTTAAGGACCAAAGTCTTCTGAATTTCTTAACCTCAAGAAACTATGTTCTATTGAAGATACTGAAATTGGATAACCTGGGATGTGAAAGTTAGGCTCTAACTGAACAAGAAAACCATCTAAATCAAGGTTTTAAATTCTCGTCGGTGGAGAAGACATTTGGTAGTGAAATTTGATATTCAAAACTTTTAAGGGCTGTACTGGTTAAGTCCTATATTTTTTTTCAGAGTATTGAATCTGGAAAGAAGACGAAAGTAAGATGTGATAATTTTATTGGGTACACCGTTGGCCAATTGCAAGAAACTAAACTTCTTTCAGGAAGGCTTTGTTAACTTACTTTATATGAACAAATATGATCCAATGGAATGTTTGGAGCCACTTCCGACTTTCTGTGATTCTATATCTAATCTACTCTAGTTAATTTCAAGGAAAACTATGGCAGGCTTCAACTGAGTAAGTTAACTTCCAACTCTTTTCCTCCACTCATAGTCTGTCATAGCAGTTCGAGTTCTTTTGAAGTCCCCTGGAAAATTCTTCATTTATCTTTCTGTCTTCAGATGGATATTTGGGATTTCTTTGGGGACTGTCTTGATACTTTGAGTTGGACAACCAACTTTCACTGTGATTTCCAGCAAATAGTTCACGCCATTATCCCTGACTTCTCTTTTCTGAACACTGTTTTGGGAATAAGAAGAAAAATGTATTTTCCGTTATATCCTGGGCCTACACATTCTCATTATGTACAAATCTCCTATGGTGTAAATAGAAAATAAAATAAAGAAATAAAATATTGCATTACAGAAAAGGATTAATTCTTCGGCTCAGGACATTGATTCTGATCCCCCAAATATCATGAATGTAGGTATTTTGCTTAAAAGAGCTTCTCTCTATTAACTGTACCGCAAACTTCGAAGAATTATGGTCTGGATTTTCCACATCTTAAGTACAATGACCCCTTGAAGCATTAGCAATACGATCTTAAGGTTTTTATGCACAGACAAGCAACCATCTTAATCTGAGCACTTTGTAGAATAAAGTCACAGGGTTATTGGTACTTATGGCAGATAGCTAGTTTGTTCCTAATTAGTCTTAAACCACATGGGTAGTATTTGGAAGCGTCTCTGGTCTGTTACTCTGGTTTAAACCTTTATTAATCTGAGTTTTTTTTATTTTATTTTTTTTATTTTTATTTTTTATTTTTTTCCCAATAATAATATATGAATTGAAAACCTTCTGATAAATATAGATTTCATTGTGACCCTTACAGATTCTTTTAAGAGTTCCATGTGGGTCTTCAATTAAGGAATCAGAGATATTGGTTTATGCTGAGACTTGCATTTTCTCATTTGATTAATCATGGGTGGTTTTTCTCAAGTGAAGAACTTGCTGAATTTTATTAATCTGTAGCATCTGTGAGTCTTTTGTGTTCGCAGGTTATTGTATCTCGGATGAGATTCATATCATCACAGACAGAGCGTTCTGTTCGTTTCGTTGGTCTTTCGATTGCTTTGGCTAATGCACAGTAAGTTTTATCAGCCAATTTTAGTATCCTTCCATTTTGCGTTATTATTTTTTCATAACGGGACTCCTTTTGGTTGATTTAGTGATTTGGCTGATTGGCTTGGCTTTGAAGAGAACGGTCTATTCAATTTCAAGCCTAGTGTTCGGCCGGTTCCTCTGGAGGTTCACATCCAGGTAACTTACTCCCCTAAGTATTATGTGTATTTTTTACTGAAGTACTTGCAATATACTGATTCGTTTTTTAATCCATAGTGTACTAGTCTAAGAGCACCCTAAGGAAAGAATCAATAGGACACATTGGCGTCCTAATAATTCCTTAATTAGTGCATGGCAAATTATTCATGATACTACTACTCAAGCTGGAACATATATATCAATGATGCCCAGGTTGTTGCACAATTTGTTCATCCGTACTTCATTCAAGGCTTTTGTCTTGTGAGTATGCCCTTGTCATGAACTAAGTGGCAATATATTTCAACTTTTGGTCCATTCATGAGAAACGGGATTTGAATTGCAGCTTTTGGTTTTCACACAAAAGTTTGCCAGGCGAGATAACTTCCTTTAGTAACTAGTGTATCCATAACATGTCATACACCGAATCAGCCATAGACCTATCTGCTGGATCAGCCACTGGTGAGAAACGACTTGTTGTTTCTTACTTGTCCATGAGTTTAAATTACCTTCTACAAAGATACAACATCCTGATGGCCTTCTATTTACAGCCTGCATAGTCATCGTCAGAATATAATTCAATCAACCCGGTAAAATACTGCTTTAATGACATATTGCACAAAGAACAAGACTCTTCCAGGAGCCCCCTTTTAGTTAGCACAACATTTCCTCATTAGTAGGAGCGTACATAAAGTGAGTAGCAACAGATGGTGCATAAGTGATGTCAGGACGCGTTATCATAAGATAACCCATCTTTCCTACAAGTACACGCTACCACCAGATCAACGCCATTCCACCTTCAAGTTTTTAGGCTTAAAAAAAATACAATATACACTTGTTACATTCTCAAATCAATACATATTTCCCTGAAAATATTGTTCGATTACTTGAAAAATATTTATTTTGGCTGGTTACTAGCGAGTTTGAGTCAAATGCTATTCTAGGGTCACTTGGCTTAGATTTAAAAATACAGGGTGTAGATTTAACCAGTGTTGATTTAAAAATACAGTGTTTATTTACAATACGCGGATCCCACGCAGAATCGAGAAAACCAGCATCTTTCATCTCTGAGTAATATGCATTATCCAAAAGCCAATCTTCCTCCTGCACATGTCAAAAGTCATGAATCTACCTTAGATAAAGAAAATGCATTTAACTTTCTTCAATGAGTGCATGGAAAAGGTCGGCGAGGAAAATTGCATACATGAAAGGGAGATAAAGGGAGTGACAACAGATAATCATGAGATTGTACAACCTGATCAGAAAGATTGCACGATATGAAAGATTGCAAGATATGAAATAACAAAATTTAGACAGGTCCCAGATAAACACAAGTCTAAGCACAACATTCATGCAATAATGCAAATTGGGAAAGTATATAATTAAATTCTAAAAGAGATTTGTTCAATTTCCCCCAATTTTAGAAAACTCGTACAAAAAATGCAGACGGTTCAACAAATCTAACTCTAAAACACCCCTATTTGAAAAACCCCAAATCCATCTCCATCTTCGAGCACGAGCGACCTCAAAAATGGCGGATCACTGGCTCGCATTTCCAGAATCGATGGACCACTATAGGAAGGTTATAAAATATCTTCAAAGGTATGTCAGCATGACGTTGGAAGACTTTACTACGGTAACAATTTCTGGCATACCACTTTTACGTCCTGAAGCAGTGACATGTGACGAACAACTAAAGCTAATAATGAAATTAAGGATTCGTAATTTCGATGGAGGGAGAGATATTGTGTTGCTCACACGTTCAGACAATCACTATTTGATAGGGCTTCAGAGGGAAAGAGATCCATCTAGAGATGGTGAGCAGGAGCCCTTGGAACTATGATTCCATGAGGATAAGAGGTTATTACCAAATGCTAAAGAGCTTTCATACAATGGGAGGTATCCAAACATCAGTTCATCTCTAAGATCTGAATTACCGATGGGCCGAGAAGCTCTCAAAAGTGCTCTTCAAATGTTGTCCATGCCAAAGAAGAAGCAAAAAGATAATAGCTATTACGATGGCAATGCGTTTAGAAAAGCATTACTGTCTGTGCTTTATCATTTTTTTGAAGCTGCACGATTTATTGCGATAGAAGATTTAATTGCAGAGAACTATGAGTGGGGAACCATTTGACAAGCAGAACCTAGGCATTCTTCCCATTATTCTTTTCTTTCTCTGCTTGTCAATAATTGTTGAGTATGCCTAGGTTCAACTTCTCTTCCCTATAGTCGTCTTCACTGTCAAATGGTTCGTTGATAATTATACTTCTACTTGATTTCTTCCAGAAATTAACAAGATCAACGTGCATCTTGTTGAGCGTAGTTCCCAGCTCATAGTTCTCCGCAATTAAATCTTCTATCGCAATGAATCGTGCAGCTTCGAAAATAGATAAAGCACAGACAATAATGTTTTCCTAAACGCATTGCCCTCGTAATAGCTATTATCTTTTTGCTTCTTCTTTGGCATGGAAAACATTTGAAGAGCACTTCTGAGATTATCCCTCCACGTAGTTCCAATCCCAGTCCCATACACTTAACCAGGTCAGAAGTGAATAAGCCAGTTAGGCAATTGTTTGGGTCTATAAAGGTGTAAGCGCTCTTCTTAAGTACTTAAATCGTGAGAGAGTGAGCGGCCACCTGCTTGTAGCTACGGCGAACAAGAGACGTAACAAAGAGTTGCTTACCTTTATCCATTTGACCAACTTGCTCTAGCTAAAAGATGGCTTCAACAGCCCTCTCGGTTTCTGGTGCTCAGCCTTCACTTGCTGACACACTAGACATGAATTCACGAACTTCGCTACTTGCCTCTTCATTCCTTGCCACCAAAATGACTTCTTCAAGTCCTGGTACATCTTCGTGCTACCAGCCACATATGCCTCTGGATTTCCACATATGCCTCTGAATTCACCAAAACGACTTCTCAGGTCCTGGTACATCTTCGCTACTTTTAACGCCACATATGCCTCTGGTTTCCAGCCATCGATTTCTCTATATCTTTCAAATTACCTGACATCAAGATTCTAGGGTAAACTGTCGAGAGATCCTCAGTGATCTTTGCAAATTTATTGCATTTCAAATGTCTATGTCTATGTGTTGACGCAATAAGAACATTTTTCGTGGTCTCACTGTCAGGAAAAATAAAAGCATGTTAAAATAAGATAGAAAAATAATGGAATATGAAATAGAAAATGAAATATGTGATGAAAGTCTCCACGACAGCTCTAGAAAGACACACCAGAGAATATCGACTCTACTAAACATGTAAGAAGCATATAATAACAATAATAATAGCTAAATATAGTCGGTTACCGGCTTCTATGATAAAAATTAGAGCATATAAAAGATACCCATGTCGCGCACACAGGCAAGCAAGACCATTACATGTGACAGACATTGACAAATTTGCATCTAATGATCTAATCACATGAATACACACCAGGCTCGTCTAAAAACAATCTACAACTTCGAACAAATAACCATATTCGCACATGCAGATTCGAGGGAAATATAGATAGTAGTAAGGCTTCATGCAACTCGTTTACCTTAGATAATTCGAAAAGTTCTCAAGTGACACTTCAATATTTTTGCTATGTACCAGCCCATGTTGTAAACCATCTTTGTATGCTTGACGGCTCGATGAAATGGAAAGGGCAGGTTCGGGATCCTTCCGCTTATTCCCGCTTGCCCAATGATCATCGAGAATTCTGGATACACTACCACTTATATCCAAAGCAGGAGCAGCCGAACTGCTACAAGGTGCTGCATAAGTGGTCTGAAGTTACTGTTCTTAGCCAAATTCTTCCCACTATCTGAATCCACATTCAAGTCCTCATCGGCGCCATTAGGAGGTGAAACGCCTGCTTTATGGTCAGAAATAAATGTTCGTGCCTTCTAAACTACCGAGTTGAACTACCAATCATCGAAATAAATGATTGGTTTGTGTTTACTTATAATACCAATTATTGTAGTAAGATTACGCCATTTCGACTTCAAGTTTGTAGGCTGAAAAAAATACAAAATACACTTGTTACATTCTCAAATCAACACATATTTCCCCTAAAAATACTGTTAGATTACTTGACTTTGGTGATTACTAGCGAGTTTGAGTCAAATGCTATTCTAGGGTCTCAGCGTTTACACAAGTCCTAATATTGAAATAGCCACTATAGTATTATGAGTTCGTGTTAGTAATTGTGTAACGACCATAGACTACACTACATCTTGGCTTCATGCGGGTGGCCCGTACACGTGTGCGCTCCGACGTGAAGACTACCGAGCCGACGTGATGCCGAGCTCGGGGGACCCTTAGCATTTTCTTTGCATTTGTTTCTAGTGACTTTTGAGTGACCAACCGACTTGTAGTTGGCCTCGTATCGTATATCTTTATCTTGTGAATGAGGAACCGACTTGTGGTTGCCCATTACGTTTTGTATGTCGTTGACCGGTTGTCGGAACCAATTTTGATCTATATATTTACATCTAACGATAAAAAAAAATACAGGGTGTAGAATTAGCCAGTGTTTATTTAAAAATACAGTGTTTATTTACAATACGCTAATCCTACGCAGAATCGAAAAAACCAGCATCTTTCATCTCTGAGTAATATGCATTATCCAAAAGCCAATCTTCCTCCTGCACATGTCAAAAGTCATGAATCTACCTTAGATAAAGAAAATGCATTCAACTTTCTTCAATGAGTGCAGATTGAATATGTGGTTACCTGGAAAAAGTCAGCGAGGAAAGTTGCATACAGGAAAGGGAGATAAAGGGAGTGATGACAGATAATCATGAGATTGTACAACCTGACCAGAAAGATTGCACGATATGAAATAATACAGACATATGAATCACTCATAGATTCTTTCGAAATGTGAAGGGAAAGAAAAGTGTTACCAAAATCCTAAGCCAAAACCAATTCCAGACAGTCCACTAGCAAATAATCCCGCAACGTTTACTATGAACATGACAACGACATAGTTGTAGAATGATGGCTTTGCTACATAGTGTGAAATTTATTCATGGAATTAGAGCAATGCCACTAAGTTAGTCCGAGGAAATAATAAAAGATGACATGTAGAAAGACTCTTAACACTAAAAGATAGTTTGGGTTTGACTCACGTGGCAACTTATCCCTCCACTTTGAGTAATGAACGAATAGTATGTAGCAACAGACCTATGCAAGCACCAATAAGTGAAATAACAATATACTCCACTTTCCCCACTGTGTAGCATCATTGTTAATGAAGAGAGGTACTCCAAATCCAAATATGAAGATTGCCTACGTCAATGTAAAAAGTGGCCTCAAGGTTAATTTGGATAAGAATGAATGCACAAAGATGTATTCAGCACAATCTCGTTAGTAGTTTTTCCAGTCGGAACACCATAAAGGTAAGTATTTGTTCATCGTAAGAATGTGCGTGACAATCAAATTATATATTGTTTATTTGTCTGACTTCATGAAGATGGTGTGGTTCAGCACTTCAAAGGTCGATCTTGAACTCAAAATATTTTCTATTTTTATTTTATGGTAAATCGCGATTTCAGTACCCAAACTAAGGGGTAATTTCAAGGTCACTAATCAATTTTAGTACCCTAATTATGAAACAACTCGCGAATTTCATGAGTGTCATGTATGAAATTTTTGAAATTTTCTGCTTGTTTTAAATGACAACTAACGACGGGGTATGAAATTCGCGAGTTGTTTCATAGTTAGGGCACTGACCTTGAAATTACCCCGTGTACCTAAATTGCTATGTACCTTGTATTTCACCACTCATAAATTACCTTGAAATTGCCCCGTGTACCTAAATTGCTATGTACCTTGTATTTCACCACTCATAATTGGCTTTTTGAAACACATTCACATCAAATTGAAATTCGGAGATGCTATTTGGATGTAATAACAACCTCGTCAATTAAGAGCTTAAAGTATTAGAAATAGGAGATAGTTGTCACTTGGATAAGTAGATCAACAGCTCCAACAGAACCCGAAATAAGGAAAATATGAGCAAGTGCTTCTAATCCATTTGCATAATTATCCTGGAGCAAGAAAGCCTCTATGCTAATCTCCAAACATAGCATCCCACATTCTGTGAATAATGACAACAAGTTCCAAGCAACTGCCATCCCTGATCTCCTCATAAAGATCAATAAGCAAGAAACGAGTACTATTTACTCTCATGTATATGACGATTGATATTAACATCATAGGAACTAAATTTACTTGAGAATATCAAAGAAAAAAGCTTCTTTAGATCAAGATGCAAGTTAAGGTTTACGAAAGAAACCTAAAATGTAAAGTTCACGTTTATTGAAATCTAAACATATAACTCACTTTTGTAAACAACCTTATCAGGTAAACATTTCAAACAAAAAAAAGTAATTAATTTGAAATCTGAAGTTAAATTCTCCAATAAAAAAACATGTACCAATCATTTTATCTAAATCCAAACAGAAGTAGTATTCTGCATCAGCCCTCACTGCTAAATTAAAGTTGATGGCACATAATCAACCTGATCAAACCCAGGTAAGCCCCAGTACATTTTTAGTGTGCGACTAAATTAAAATTCACACTTGAAATAACAAAATTTGGACAGGGCCAGATAAACACAAGTTCAAGCACAACATTCATGCAATAATGCAAATTGGGAAAGTAGGCAAAAATTCAATTTTAGTCCGCTAACTTGTCCATTGTCCACTTGTGGTACACTATCTTTCCCCTCATAAAAAATGGTCTGTTATGTTACACTTTTCATCAGTTTTAGTACACTAATCCCGTGGCCCGAGATTACTAGATGCCAAATCAGGTTTTTATCCTACTACGTCAATATCTTATCCCTCCACGTAGTTCCAATCCCGGTCCCATTTCACATGGGAATCTCAAGTGGCTTCAACAACCCTCTCAGTTTTTGGTGCTCAGCCTTCACTTGCTGATACACTAGACATGAATTCACGAACTTCGCTACTTGCCTCTTCATTCCTCGCCACCAAAACGACTTCTTCAGGTCCTGGTACATCTTCGTGCTACCAGGATGAACAGTATAAGGTGCACTGTGTGCCTCCCGAAGAATCTCACGTTGCGGTTCCCACACCTACGGAACACATAGTCTACCCTCGAAGACCAATGCCCCATCAGATGCGACTGCGAATCCGCCAACTTTGCCGGCCTCCATCAACTCCTTCATCCGGCATAAGAATCGATCATTCGGTTGTTCAGCAACTATCCTCTCGCGAAGGGTCGGTCCCACAACCAAGGCTGCCAAAACACCACTGGCTGTCGAAGTCGACTCCACCGCCCCTAACTGTAGCCGCTCGAACTCCCGAACTAACACATCCTGCCTTGTGAATAGGCAAGACAGCTGGCCATGACTCCTCCGACTAAGGGCGTCGGCGACCACATTAGCCTTCCCGGGATGGTAGCTAATCTTGCAGTCGTAGTCCTTGACCAACTCCAACCATCTCCTCTGTCGCATGTTCAACTCCTTCTGAGTGAAGATATACTTCAAGCTCTTGTGGTCGGTGAAAATCTCACACTTACCTCCGTAGAGGTAGTGCCGCCAAATCTTCAAGGCGTGGACCACAGCGGCTAACTCTAGATCATGAGTGGGGTAATTTTGCTCGTGAGGCTTTAGCTGCCTCGACGCATAGGCCACTACTTTCCCTTGCTGCATCAACACACAGCCTAAACCCATCATCGAAGCGTCACTATAGATTGTGAACTCCAAAGTCGGGTCAGGAATGGATAATACAGGTGCGGTAGTTAGCCTTTCCTTCAACTCTTGGAAACTGGCCTCGTGTTCGTTCCACTTTTGTCATGTTTTTGTTCTTTATTTCATGCTTGATTTTCCCCTACTTAGGTATTTTTCTTTGGTTTTTGGTCCGTTTCGAGTCGTCTCGTACTTATCCTTTGTTTTAGTCGTTTTTGGTCTTTTTGTTCGTTTTTCCCGGTTTTCCGTATTTCTTCTCGGTGGTGATGTGCAGGTTTGGTGGCTCGGTGCATGGCTATGCGAGGTCTACTGTCTAGATGGATGAGTTGGGGTCGTGTTGGAGAAGACGGGATCAAATTCTGAGTCCAAATGCGAGAAGACGAACCGAAAACACGATGTGCTGAAATCCTTCACCGCGGCCGCGGAGAAGAGGAAGTCGCGGCCGCGAGATGCACAAAAGTTCCAATTTCTGGCTCGAGGAGGTCGCGGCCGCGAGATGTTGTTCGCCGCGGCCGCGGAGGGCTAAGTCGCGGCCGTGGAGGTCGCGACAGCAGAATTTTTATGCTGCGATTTTGTTCAGTTTTTCACTCACTTTTTCACCTAGGTTTAGACTCTCTGTCGTTTTTATTCACTCCAGAACATATATTTCTCTTAGATTTTGATAGGATTTGATCTTGGATTGTGAAAATACCAAGATTCGACTTTTGGATTCGGATTGCTCGTTGTTTCTTCAACATTGGATTCGTACTTATCGTAAGTTTTTCTCTTATTTCATTGATGAGTGATATGTCTTTGCTTGATATGAATGTTGATGTTGAACTTGTGATGAGTAGCTAAATTCGTTAACTAGGGCTAGGGGATAATTGTTCCGGTTTAATTTCGTTTGTATGAATGTTGATTGCTCAAGCTATTCGAGTTGTGCTAAATCTAGGGTTGAATTGATTGATCACCTTTTTAATCCACTAAATCGATCCTTAGAACCGAAAGGGCAGAGATCGATTGATGTAGGCTCGTTTAGGATAGACTTGTTCGGAGACGTATTGTCTATGTGCTGATTGATTCGATAATTGTTCATTTATGTTTGTTCTCTTGTTATGTGAGTTATTGAGGATGAATCTCTGAATGAGTGAGTTTTTCGTGTCCTTTGGCCGAGTGATTGATTGTCATTTAATGTATTGAGAACCGGAAACGATTGTCCCCGACTCCCTAGTCATTCTTATCATTCTTTGAATTGTGTTTTTGGAGTGTCAAATTGGAATTTCTTGTTTGAGTGCCATTAGTTGTTAATCGCATAGTTGATAATTCAAACCAACCAATTGAGCTAGAGTGTTTAGGATTTAATTTCTCTTTTTGTGATTGAATATACGTATAAGATAATCCGGCTAACTTTCCTTGAGACACGATCCGGTGTTCGAATCTTTTGATTCCACTCCGGTAAAATAAACTACAACAAAATGGCGCCGTTGCCGGGGAAAGTTTAGGATTTCTCTTGTGCGCCTATTCATCTTGTTTTTAGTGTTTCTCTTGATTCTTGTGATTTTTCTTGTTTCTGTGTTTCTCTTGATTCCCTTTAACTTGTTAGGTGTTAGTTCTCGTTTTATTTTGTTTTTATTTTATTTTATCATTGGTGCTCGTAACCTTTGTTGGTCTTAGTGTATGCGTACCAGGAGTGGACGCAAACTGCTATCTCCAATCAATAAATCAGTCAACGAGAGCCTGAGGGAGCTGCTGGAAGAGCTTACTCTCGAATCTAACGAAGGAGACGAGCATTCCCCGAAATCGTCAGAAGGCAGTAACGTCAACATGGATGAACAACAGCAACAATCGCCTCGTAACACCCTCCGAACCTTAGCCCAGCCGGTTATCGGGCCAGTCACTTCGTGTATCTGTTTACCAGAACCCGCACGAAATTATGAGCTAAAAATGATTCACTACAACCAGCTGCCGGCATTTCACGGGCTCCCGAGCGAAGACCCGCTTAACTTCATCCGGAAATTCTACAATGTCCTCAACACTTTCCCCCTGAACGGGCTGAATGAGGATCAGTTAAAGATGAGGTGCTTCCCCGAGACACTGAAAGACCGGGCCAAGGCCTGGTTCATGACACTTGCACCGACATCTCTGACTACCTGGACCGAGGTTTACACGAAGTTCATTGGGAGGTACTACTCCCATCAGAAAACTCAGGAGCTCCGGTCACAGATCGTCTCGTTTGCCCAACTACCGAGTGAGCCTCTTCACGAGGCCTGGGAGCGATTCAAGGATCTCCAGCGACAGTGTCCCCACCACAATCTTTCACCGGGACTACTGATGAATTGCTTCTACGACTCCCTCAACCAGAATTTGCAATACATGGTTGACAACGCTGCGGGGGGAGACATCGGGGCAAAGACGGCCGAAGAGATGTATGAGATCTTTGAGACGATGAGTGCTAATTCGTCGCAAAAGAGCAATCGAGGGAAAAGGGTCGTCGTCAACGAGGTATCTTCTGCTCAAAATATGATGACCCATCAAATAGCCGAACTCACAGAGCAAATGCGGCTAATGAATGCACGAAGAGGCCAGTCAGTGCACACCATGACAGTAGACACATGCGGGGCATGTGGAGTTCAGGGGCATAGATCCAAGGTGTGCCCATCGGCGTTTGACCAGGAGGTAGGAGAACAATATACAGACGTCAACGCCCTCCAAGGTTACCAAAACCGGCAGCCCAATGACCCCTATTCCAACACATACAATCCCGGGTGGAGAAATCACCCAAATTTCTCGTGGTCTAACAACAACAATACTCTCCAGCCACCTCGTCCGAACTTCAAACAACAGCAACCCCGCCCAAACTTCATGCAACAGCAAAATCACCCCAACTTCATCCCCCGTCCGAGCTACCAACAACAACAGCAACCACAACAGCAAGTCCAAGGGTCCGATTCAAGCTCGTCAAATCAAGATGACAAGCTGGACAAGATCCTTCAGTTTATCACCAACCAGGACTCATCTATTAAGCGTCTCGAGACGCAAGTGGGTCAGCTTGCCACGAGAGTCGGGAATATGGAGGCTGAGTCAGACAAAGGGAAACTTCCGAGCCAGCCCGAGCAAGCAAAGGCGATAACAGTGTTGAGGAGCGGGAAGAAAGTGGACAACAAAGTGAGAATGCCCGAGCCTGTTGACCCCAAACCAACCGACCAGCCCAAAGAAACCGAGGAGAGTACGAAGAGCACAGGAACCGACTCGGGAAAACCAACAGAGAGTCCTTTATTACACAAGTCTCCAAATCCTTACAAGCCACGCATCCCTTTTCCGAGTAGACTCCGAGACGAGAAGCAAGAGCAACAATTCCGAGATCTCTACAACATGCTCTCAAAGGTCAACGTCAACCTGCCACTCCTGGATGTGATCAAGAATATGCCCTCGTACGTGAAGTTCTTCAAAGACTTAGTGATGAAGAAGAGGAAATTTGGAGACGGGGAGAAGGTAGTTGTTTACGAGGCTGCGAGTGCCATGCAGCATGAACTTCCGAAGAAAGAGCGAGACCCCGGAGGCTTCGTGATTCAAATAGCCCTCGGAAACGGAAAGGAAGCTTCAGGGATGCTGGACCTGGGAGCGGGGATCAACCTCATGCCATACTCTATCTTTCAGCGACTTGGCTTAGGAGACCTGAGGCCGACCCGGATGTGCCTCCAGCTTGCAGACCGTTCTATCAGATACCCTAAAGGGGTAGTAGAAGATGTCCTTGTTCGTGTTGGGAAACTCATCGTCCCAGTGGACTTTGTCGTCCTAGATGTGGGGGACGTACAGGAAAACGGGAAGGACCATACCATCCTTCTCGGAAGACCGTT